AATGAGGCAGAACCAAAACAATAGAAGAAGAAGAAGAAGGAGAAGCAGCAGCAGCAGCTGGAGATGAGGATGTTGGTTTACAGCCTCAAGAATTCCTCTGGTGAAAGTTGAAACTGGCCCCCCCTACACAGAGGGCAAGGGGAGAAGCAGATCATCCAGGTTGGTAGGTGGCAGGTTTAATAAGCAGGGAACTCACTAGGCTTGTCTTGAGCACCTGCAAAATGAGGTCTCAAAATGGAAGTAGGGTACAGACTGACAACCTTCAGAAGAGGGGCTGGAGGCGTAGGGAAGAGATAAACCACAGAACTAATATGCATGTATGCATAACTGATGAACAAGGACAACAAAGCTGGGGACAGGGTGGGAGAGATGGGGAGGAGGGTGTCAGTGAGGGAAAAAGGAAAAACATCTGTAACAAAAATAAATTAATTAAAAAAACAAAAAGATAAGGTCTCAGCACCTGCCTGCCAGAATTTTAAGGGTTTACATCGAGGCCTTAACAGAGCTTAGTCCAGATGGTCTGAACAACGCCTTACTCTCTCAATCTGCGTCCCAGAAAAGGCTCTCAGTGTGGAAACAGTAGGAGGAATGTACATTCCAAGGACCAGGGAGGGGGCAAGGAGCCTCCCATTGCCTGGGTCCAGCTGGTGGTTCAACTGGCAGCCACATCTTTTCTATGAACTCCTCCAGCATAGGACCAGAACAGTGGCTAGTTTGCTGATTTGAGTATTACTGTTTCCCAGTGGGAAGGGGTTGGAATTAGTTTCCTGCAGTCATCCTTGCTGATTGTGATTGTGCACATGTGTTGATGTGTGTGCCTGTGGATAGATGGTAGCTTTTTAGAATATATTCTTATTGAAATATGACCTGAGTTCTAATGAACCATTCTGAATCTTTAAAAAAGGTCTTTTGTCTATTGTTACGGAGCAATACCTAAACTGGGAACATAGCTGGTGTAGGCACGGCCAGCATCTTGGTGTGAGGTGGTTCATTTCTGGTAAGCACCTCCCTTACAGAATGCTTGTCAAATGTAGACTATTCTAGTTTGCATGTCCCAACTCCTATAAGCACAACAGTCAGCCCCAAACAGAAATAGCCAATCCCTTCTGAGTTCCTGGCCTGGGACACCAGGTACAACCTTCCTTTCAATTTCCTCCAGGTCACTGTCCTTGTGGGATGCTCATATATATTTGTGCTTAGAGTGAACTACTTAGGTTCTCTTGGCTCAGTGATAAGAAAATTAGGGAAAGGAGTACAGTATATGGTAAGAACAGGAGGGTAGAATTACTTTTATAAACTTGTCAGCACAAAATCAGTCTACCTGCAGGAGTAATAAACAACACAACATGTATGTAATGGCCCCTTTCATTTAAGGATGAATTCTAACATGAAACATTAAAAAATTTTTTTTTATTAATTTATTTTTGTTATAGATGTTTCTCCTTTTTCCCCCATTGACAACTTCCTCCCAATCACCCCCACCTGCCCCATCCCCAGTATTGTTGTCTATGTGAATGGTTATACATACATGCATATAAGTTCTGTGGTATCTCTTCTCTCCCCCCTACCCAACCACCTCTTCTGAGGTTTGTCAGTCTGTACCCTACTTCTGTGTCTCTGGGTCTATTTTGTTCATTATATTCCGCAAATAAGTGAGATCATGTGATATTTGTCTTTCTCTGATTGGCTTGTTTTGCTTAGGATAATACTCTCCAGGTCCCTCCATGTTGTCTCAAAGGATGACATCTTTCTTTCTTACAGCTGTATAGCATTCCAGAAACATTTTTTAAATAAAAATTTTTTCTTTATTGATTTTAGAGAGAAAGGAAGGGAGAGGAAGAGAGAGATAGAAACATCAATGAGAGAGAACATTGATTGGCCACCTCCTGCATGCCCCCCACTGGGGATTGGACCCACAACCTGGGCATGTGCCCTGACTGGGAATCAAACCAGCAACCTCTTGGTGCATGGGTCGATGCTCAACTGCTGAGCTACACCAGCTGGGTTAACACGAAACATTTTAGAGAGAAAAATAATAATGAGGCATTTCTCTCTCATTCCAGTGCTTAGCTTAATGTTGTCTATTGGGCGTCCAAGAGTGGGAATTAATTATTCATTATTTTTCTCTCCTATTACAAGTTTTCTCACTACTTTTGGAAGGGAAAGGTGAGCGGCCTCTTTTAAGAGTTCCTGTGTGTATTTTGACTTTGCTGTAGCTGTGCTATTTTCTAAACTGTCTCTTAGATTCAGTGGTTACACCTGTTTTTCTATCTGCACCCCCCCCCCCCACACACACACATTGTTTGCTTCGGATATATTTGTCAAATCATCTGGCTTATTCATGTTTATTACCCTGTCACCAATATACAGAGATGCAAAATTCAGAAGAGAATCTTAAGCAGCAAGGTTACGCATAGTTTTAAACATAACATGTTCTTGAAAGTAGGGGACAAAGTCTATTTTAACCATCATTAGCATTATTTTTATCTTAGCACTGAATAAATTATTCAAGCATCACAAAGATAATTAGACCAAGAAAAAACACCCAGCAGTAGCACTCATTTATATGTCTATGCCAGTGTCAACTCCTGTGACATTATTTCTTTGTCAGCAATTGTTAGAGGTCAGAGGTGAAAAAGACAGATTAGAGCAATTACTCCAGCTTTTCATGCAAAAACAGCTTTGTGTAGCATGCTTTTCCTTAGTCATTTTAACACAGAGAGAAAAGATTTCACACAGCGGTACATAGGGAGATTTAGCATTAAATAGAGATATAAGGATTGCTAACCACACATAGCAAATGGAGTTTAGCTTTTCCATGTCTTGGTTGTCAACAGCTTTTACTATTTCAACAGATCCTGACAATAATTAGAATTCGGGGTGAGAAGGAACTCAAAGAATCTTGCAAACATGCTTCTGGAAGCATATCCTCACTCGTTTGGACAATGGGGATGTCTGGTTCCTCATCTCCACCTTGTATTCTCCTCTCCAGCTTTGGAGTCTAGGAAAAATTTTTAGATATTGCAGCCCCTGGGTTGTATCCAGTGCTAAATAAAGGCCAGATTGCACAGTAAAACATCATTTATCTTTCAAAAGCTCCTGCACTAGGGCCAGGAGGAGAAACTGACACCAGGGAAAAGATGTCCTTTTTTGTTAAAAAAATAAAATACCTGAATTGTTTCTGCATTGCTAGCTCATTGTCTCCCATGCCACTGCCACTTTCTTTTGGGTTGTCAGAGGGATTCTCTTCAAAGGCAAGTCAGAAACCCCAGAGACCCTGCATTGTCTTCACATTAAAACCCCAAATTCCGCCCACTAGGGGATCTTTCAAGGCCTTGGCGGTCTGCTCCAAATATGCAGAAGGAACTGTGCGCCTCACCTGCACCTCCACACCTTCTCTCTCATGTTGACCTTCCAATGGAGATTACTGCCTCCCCCCAGCCCTGCTTTACTTCCCTCCTCCCTACAATTCAGGGCAGATGCCATCTCTTCTAAAGAGCTTCCTTAACCTGATTCTTCCACTCCTTCCCCAATTTCAGATGGATGATTTAAGCACTGAGCCATTATTTCTATTGCAGCCATTTTCATAATTGTTATTGGTCCCTCCTTGGACTATGAGCTTCCGGTGGGTGGAAGCCATATCCACAGAGCTTAGCAATGCACTGCAAACATAATAGGTGCTCAGTAAACCTTAGAGTGAACTCAAGGAATATACTTCTTAAAGTATTACATGAATACAGCAAAGTGCACACATCTGCAACGTATAAATAGAGGGATAAACGTATATAATGACCATGCAGATGAGCATTATAGAACTTTCCCCAGAGGTTCCCTAGACAACAGGCTCTAATTGTTCCGGGGATGAGCCCCATCCAGCCTGTGAAAGGAAGTTGGTTGCTGGTAAGAGACTCCAGGAGGATGTAAGATGTCCTGATTCATCGCAGGTAAAAAGCTCAGGATGGAGGGAGGGGCATTTTATTCTAGAGAAAAGCAAGAACATGGAGATTAAAGAAGACATTTAAAAAATGCAAATAGTGAAAAGTGAACATTAACGATTACCCTTCTTCCTTCTCCCCACACTCACCCAGAAGCACCAGGGCCAGCGGGGCCCATAAAGAAAGGTTTCAGGATTCCCTGTCACACCCCCCCCCTCCCCCCCTTGGCAGCCTTTCCCTATTACGGAAGTAAGTGCAGTTGAGACTTGCCAAACCTCATTTGATACACGTAAAGCATTCAGTCTCCGCTGGGGTTCTGGCTTTTGAGCTCCCCGCTCAACTGTACCTCCCACAAGCCGTCGTGCACTTTAGAGCCAGAGGACTGGCCACAGTCAGAGAGGAAGCGCCCCCCCCCCCCCCCCCGCACTCCCACCCCGCTCCAATCTCTGCGGCCTGGTGTTTCCTCAAATGTAAAGAAGGGAGGGCAAGATGCTCTTTAATTGACCCACGAGTTTTTTCCTCTCTCAACCCAACATTTATGTCATCACGTTTCTTGCAGACTACCACAGACTTCTGCGGTGGTTGGGCAGGCTGTCCCTGAAAGTGCACTGGGCCAGGGGGTCACCGGGGGCCGAAATCGCTCATCAACCCAAGGCTGCAGGGTGGGTGAGCGGTGGCCCCGGTGTGAGAAAGTGAGGATGGCCAACTGATTCTGTCGGTAGCCCTGACTCCCTTCTAGACGAGTAGCTGCGAGGCGGTCCTCTCCTACACTCCTTGCGCAGCTGGAAGGGAAAAGGGGTCACGCTCCCTTGGTCCCCGGGACACCTCCCAGCTCGCTCCCACGGCGCAGGAGAGGCCGCCCAGCCCCTCGGCGCCGGCCGCCCCGCCCCTGCGCGAACTTGGCCGCACCCACTTCCCCGAGAGGCGCCCCCGCCGTGGCTGGGCTGACGTCACAAGGCACCCAGCGCCGGCGCCCCGCGGTGCGCGCCCCGAGCCCGGACCCGCCGCCCTCTCGGCGCCGACACCCAGGCGCGCCTGCGCGTGCCCGTCCCGGCCTGGAAGCGCCGCGGAAGATGGCGAGCCCGGCGCCCGCGCAGCACGCCGAGGAAGGATGCCCGGCTCGGGCTGCCGGCGAGCAGCAGCCACCGCCCCGGGCCCCCTCCGAGGAGCCGGAGGAAGCGCAGGAGGACGGGGCGGCGGCGGCCGTGGCGGTGGAGCGGCAGGTGGAGGAGGCCGCCGGCGGGGTGGCCATCGCTGTGACCTGGCTGCTGGGGGAGCCGGTGCTGTGGCTGGGCTGCCGCGCCGACGAGCTCCTGAGCTGGAAGAGGCCTCTGCGCACCTTGCTGAGCTTCGTCGGGGCCAACCTGATGTTCTGGTGAGATCTCTGGGCTAGGGCCGGTGTGTATGTGTTGGGGGGTGGGGGGAGTTTAGGGGGCAGGTGACCTTGGGCGCCCGGGGTGGGGGTGCGCGCTGGACACTGTGGAATAAGAAGTGTCAGCCGTGATCCAGTTTCTTGGTCACCTTTTTGAACAGGTAGACACCCACTTCAACTCTGCTCCAGATGCACTGCCCGTAAACAATGTCATCCTCCGTGTGTGTATCCAGCTTCGTAGGCGAGGTAGTCAGCTGACTAGCCTGCACCTGTACCTACAGGTGTGCCCAGCGTGCTCCGAAACTTGGGCTTTTGCTTTCTAAAACTCGCAGGTTTTGACCTGCTCCCCCCCAAAACGCCCGAGCAATCGTGCTTGAACTTGTATTCGTTCTTGCGCCCCCGGCAGGCATATCTGGACCAGCTTAGGTACATACTCGAGACGACACCGCCTTCATCAGCTACCCGAGATGGGCTCTGAATGATTTGTTCTTCCGCTCCCTGGAGGGTTGGATTTACTGTCTTTACTCCCTAATAAGAAAACAGGAGGCAACCAGGTGGATTATGTACACCCCACCCTCAGGGTGTGCACAGTGTGGAAAACAGTCATATTTTTAGGTGAAGTACAGAGAGAATACATAGCAATGGCTTTGACAAGCCCCTGATCAACAGGTTTGTCCCTCCATATAGATCCCTTCACTGGTAAGGACAAGGGAAGGGTCTGGCTCCTTCCTTGAAGGACAGCCCTGTTATCTGCTACCAATCTGATGGAGGGTGGAGAAAAGCCTTCTTTGTTTGCAACCCTGTCCTCATACAAGCATGACCCACACAATGCAGATTAAGCAGAGTTTAAGCAACACATATTTTGTTATAGGAGATTGATTTCTTAACTTAAAGTTGGGAAATAACTGCACAAGACATACACAGCCTGCCATTTTCTAGGTTAATTGAGCAACTCAAAGATTTTTTTACAGATCTGTGCTAGTCCTGGTTTTCTCTAAAAACTGGCTGTATCTTCATAGGGCCCTGAATGTGAATTTACTTTGGGTCTCTTAGCTTTCTGTGTTTATAGAGTTTATTCCAAATTTGTCTATCCTGTATGAAGTCTCATGAGCACTCACAGAAGAGGGTATGTCGTATTGTGCTAGATGGGGCAACACTTTAATCATCTTAGGGCTGTGTCGCACTCAGTTTACCACTGTGGGACATATTTTTTAAGTTATCATTTTTAAATTTTATTTATTTGAAAAAAATAGCTAATAGCCTTACAGTTCCAAAGTTAAGGTACAAAAGGATAAGCATTTTTAAAATCTCTTTCCCATGCCTGTCTCTGTCTACCTGGTTTCTTTCCAGGGGCAACTGATGTTACCAGTTTTCTTGTACTCTTCCAGATAGTGCATATTTCAGCAAATACACAAAATTCTATCCAAATTGTAGAATACTGCCTGTGCTATTCCTGTTCTTAGTATTTCTTGGTGATCACTTCCTTGTTCTTTTTCAGTTGCATAGAATTCCATTATAAGGATATCAATCACAAATTGTTTAACCTGTGTTCTCCTGGTGGACTAAGTTTGTTTCCCAACTTTTGCTATCCCAGTGTTATAGCTAATTATTTTGCAAATATGCATGTATTTCTGCAGGATAAGTTGCCAGAAGTGGAATTGTTGGGTCAGAGGGGATGTGCACTTGTACTTTTGATGGATATCACTTTTTGAGGGAGAGAGAGGTAGGGACAGGGAGAGAGAAATATCCATTGGCTGCCTCCTGCATGCCCCCTTCTGGGGATCAGTCCCACAACATGGGCCTGTACCCTGACTGGGAATGAAGCTGGGCTATTAAACTCTTTGATCTTGCAAATCAGATAAGTGAACAAGGGTATACCACTATGATTTTAATTTGTATTTCTCTGGGATTGAGCATTTTTTCCTGTGTTCAAGGACCATTATAATTATCTTTTCTTTGCATTGTTTATAAATAACTTTATTCATATTTCTAGTTGAGCCATTGGGCTTTTTACTATTGATTCATAGAAGCTCTTTTTATATTGAGAACCTTAGCCTAATTTCTGTAATATGAGTTGCAAACGTTTGTTTTTTTTTTTTTTCTGTCATGTATTCTTAATAACCTCTATAGAAAAGAATGACTTTTCATAGAATACTTGAAGGCATATTTTATATTATTCAGGAGTGATGTCTTCTATCCAATTTTTTTTATGAGTTCTATGGAGAGACAGTGACCAGGCCGTCAATCCATTTATATCATTCTGCCTATCTGTTTAATTTCTTCTCCTGTTTGCAGTATCTACATTCCATACATGTATTTTTTTGACAGAAAAATAACAGTACTGCTTTTTAAAAAAATTTTTTTTTTCCTTAGTTGATTTTCGAGAGAGAGGAATGGAGAGGGAGAAAGAGATAGAAACATCAGTGAGAGAGAACATCGATTGGCCACCTCCTGCATGCCCCACACTGGGATCAGGCCCATAATCTGGGCATGTGCACTGACTGGGAATCAAACTGGCGACCTCTTGGTGCATGGGTCGATGCTCAACCACTGAGTCACACCGGCTGAGCCAGTACTGCTTTTTAAATTCTGAAATATTTTTTAATTGGAATTGCTCACTCATTTATTAATTTATTTAAATTTTGGACTTTACCCCCCTTTCTTGTTTCTGGGGTTAAATACTTTTTGAGGACATCGTTTTCTTTAAGTAGTGTCCTTCTTATCAAGTGATTTGTTTCCATTGATTTTTAGATAGAGTGGAAGGGAGAGAGAGAGAAACATTGATATGAGAGAGACACATCAATTGGTTGCCTCCTGCACGACCTCCACTGGGGTCTGGGGTCAAACCTGCAACCTAGGTATGTGCCCTTAACCAGAAATCGAACCCCCACCCCTTCGGTCCATGGACCCCAGCTCTAACTGCTGGGCCATACTGGTCAGGACTTATCAAGTGATCTTAAATGATGATGTTCTAACATTCTGTGTCCCAGTAACTCCAAAGCTCTGTATTTTTTTTAATGAGAAAACATGAAGATCAATGAGGAACCCAAATCTTATCTTAAGCAATAGTGATGATGTTTTTGCTTTAATTGGTGTTATTACATTTTTGAGGAAATTAACTTTTTAAACATATATATATTTCTTTTAAGCCAATCAAATTTAGCAGTGGGGGTGGGGGGATTAGTGTTAAACATATATTTTTGAATGATTTAGTATCTGGTACCAGCAGTAGCTTTCAGGATTTTGGATTTGAGTTGAAAAGTTCTCTTTATCGCCTGCCCATTATCTGCAAGATTTTAGTACTGTGCACTACAAGAACCAATGTGGAGACGTGCCGGTAACAAGGGTGTATAACTCAATGCTGCATGAAGCAAGTGTGTTAGCAGAGTCAGAAAAAGGATAGGTTATTCTGATGCATTTTCAGGGCAGGGGAGGTGTTGTGGACAGAAGAGATCATAAGGAGATCATGCTTGGAGCACATCTAGATGGACAGGGATGTTTTGGGTAGATCTAGTACATGGTCAGCAGCCTTCTAGCCCTAAGGAATTGCACCTAAACTGATGAAATGGCACATGGGTTGGTAGAGAAAAGTGGGGAAGATGAGACTGGCTAGGTGTTTTGGAGACACATTTGGGGGCAATGGTTGCTTTGAATGTGATACGTATGGACTTGTTTTTTCTTTAGGCAATGAGGACCAAAAAAGACTCATTAATGTATCCATGAATATTTTAATGGATAAGTAAATTGTGGTTCATTTATTCCTACTATAAAATACTATATAACAATGAAAATAACCTACAGTGATAGGCAGGAACATGGATGAATTTTACAAATGTAATTTTGGGCAGAAGAAGCACACAGTAATATGTGCAGAATGATTCAGTATTTTAAAAGTTTTGAAATGTGCAAAGCTAAACAGTATTGATTAGGGATATATACATAGGAGACAAGAAAGACATTCATATCCCTGAAATCAAGAGAGGGTTGTCCCTGGGTGGAGTGGAAGGGTATGAACACAGAGGGACTTATGGGAGGTTCTGGGGTCCAGGCAGTGTTGTCTTTTCTGACTTGGGTAGTGGTTACATGGTGTTCAAGTTGTAATTATTTTAAAAGTATATGTATATGCATTTCTTATCTATTATCTATGTATTTTATTGAAAATACTAAAATACTCAATAATGATAAAAAAAAAAAAAGTGGTATTTGCTCAGAGCTCAGAGGAGGAGTTTGAGAAAATACAGACCACATATACTATTTGCACGTGCCCATGACCTGAAATAGGTTGGGTAACACTAATAGTCTGAGTGCTGCATCTACCTTGTTTTACTGAGGGATGTGTTTTTAAATTCTTCCTCTTAATTTTAAATTTTATTTTTTTAAAAAAATAGCTAATACCACCTCACAATTCAAAAGTTTAAAAGTACAAAAGGATAAACAGTCTGAAGATCTCTTTCCCATGTCTGTCCCTGGATACTCAGTTTCCTCCTAGAGGCAACCAATGATACCCGTTGGCAAATACAGCATAAAATAGAATGAGCCCAATGAAACAGAATATGCCCATTTGGTTTTGTTTTTAAAGAATTAGGTTTTTGCAGTATACTGTCAGTAAAGTGCACAGACTCTAAGTGTACAGTCAAATGTCACACCTATGTACCAGCAAAGGCAAGCAAGGTCTAGAGAAGACCTTCATTTCATCACTCCAAAAGTTTCCTTTGGGTCCTTTTCCTGTCAGTACCCACCCCTGGGGACCCACCTGCTTTCAATCACTACAGATCTTATTTGGCTTCCCTAAAGTTTGATATAAATGACACCATATATTATGTCTTTTGTGTCTAGCTTTGTTTGCTCAGCGTCACGTTTTGAGATTGACCCTATTGTACATATCAGTTATTTGTTCCTTTTTATTGTTGACTAGTATGCCTCTTCTGGGACATGACACAATTTGCTTATTCATTTGCTAGTTGATGTTCATTTGGGTTGTTTTGAGGGTTGGCTATTATGAA